CTTTCCACAAAAAGCATCTAGTTTTTAGATTATGCGTTTTACCACACTTGCACGTTCTTAAACTTGGTATGATAAGTAGATAAGATTTACAGAATAGAAGTCATACAAAAACGTTAATGTTATTTTAGCTGACATCTTTAGGAGAAGATTGAAAATCACTTGTTTTACAGCCTCGCCGCCGGCGTTAGTGGTTTGGTGGTTAGGTTCGTCGCCGTAAAATTCAATTCTCGAATGGGGAAATTTGTTTTATCGAGTATCTCGGTCTTGCGCCTAGAACGCCGTTTGTTATTCAACCTAGGTTGGCCCTGAAAGGCAGCATCGAAACATTCTGCCTCCTTTATGATCAAAACCGTGTTCATGGCGATGTAACACAATCGTGCCATTCACCCCCCCCCTCTCCGCCCCAAACACACACACACACACACACACACACACACACACACACACACACACACACACACACACACACATACACAATGAGCTAGCGTTTCGCCCACTTTCCTCGCAGTGAAACACAAACAACACTTTATCGGGATCAAGTCCAAATTAGTTCTCCCACATCCAGAAACAGCGCTAAACGGATCTCTATGGTCGAAAGATCACGAAAGACCGGTAAATGCAACAGTAACAACAACAAGGACAATAGAAATAACAGCAGCAATAACAACACCGACGGCAGCAACAAAGACAAATTAAGTGCTTAGGTTCAAAATAAAGATCTTTATCCGTCTCGAGTATATTTAGAATGAAATTAAAAGAATCGAGGAAACAGAACAGGAAGCCTCGATCTGAGGCACCGACCTAGATACTGCCCATTTATAGCTCAGTTCATTCACCTGCGAGCCGTCAATATCATATGCGTCGTGTCTTCCGGTCAGTAACGGCGCGCTGGGAATTGTTCTGAGAATAATCTTTTCCAATACACAGAACGCAGAGGGACATGTGACTTGACCAGAATCTTGCAGCCGACGCTATGTCTTGTTTCAGTTACGGATGCCTCTGGGACGAAGCGTCTACATAATCAAATAATCACTGCTTCATTTCCTGAAGTTTGGGCGTATCATTGCGGTAATACTCACCCATAGATGTAGACTTTATAAATTTAAGCAGACGTAGTGAAATCTCCCGTGAATCGTGTGCACAACATGGTCATCAAATTGCCCTACCCCCCCCCCTTTTTTTTTCGGGCCAGTCCTATAAGAATAATAATAATAATAATGTCATGCTTTTTTTTCGGGCCAGTCCTATAAGCACTTACAACGGTTGATAAATATAAGCAAAAAGAAAAAGCAGTCAAGTCGAGTCTACCTCTAAAAGGTAAGGGGACACTAACTTCAGAAAGCTTATAGCTGCTGTGAATTGATGACTTTTTTCAAGACATCTTACAAACGTACAATCAGGTCATGCCATGATTATGGCATCAATTGTCTACGAAAAGTTAGATCAAAACAGCAAAATTTGAAACCAATTTTAATGGTAGTATTGTCATCCCTCCGTATTAAATAAGATATTATTTTCTCGATCATTTTGACGGGAGAACATAAATAATTCGGGATTTGATTTCACTGACAATTCAGTAATGCCGACTCGGAATAAGTAAATATTGTTTATTAGTTCTCGACATGTCGTGCTCATCTCTATTTAGTTCATTGACTCACTTTGATTACCCTGTCAGACATGTCAGCCTTTGCCCCTGAGCTCAACTGATATAATATATCCATTTCAATGTATGTGTTTTACACCCTCATCGAGACAATTTAGATAATTTAGGAGGCGGCTATTTTAAAAAAATATATACATATATGTATATGTGTGTCTGTCTCTGTGTG